GCAGCGTGTGGACCATCCGCTCCGGCAGATGCAGCAGCTGCAGTGGCAGCGTCATTCGTGCACACACACACACACACACACACACACACACACACACACACACACACACACACACATTATATCCACACACGAACACACACAGTGACATAGACGTGAGCACACATACACAGTCACACACACAATCAATATCTACTGGCACACATACACACAAACACACACACACACTGCCTGTACACGCACCCACACCCACACCTGCAGCCAACCATGCACAGAAACAAACACACATGCACACAAGCTATATTGACAAATGCATTCGTTGAACAAAGTTGCAGATTGCTGATGCGGATTCAAGCTTGACGAGGGAATGAGACAGAAACAGAAGCAACACATTACCGGTGCAGCAAATAGAGTACAACAACAAAATCTCTCTCTCTCTCTCTCTCTCTCTCTCTCTCTCTCTCTCTCTCTCTCTCTCTCTCTCTCTCTCTCTCTCTCTCTCTCTCTGTGTGTGTGTGTGTGTGTGTGTGTGTATGTGCTGCCATGGCTGCAACCAATGCTCCACTCCCGCTTCCTTAGACCCACTATGCCACAACTCCCAATGCACACAGAAGATGGACTCGATGACACCACATCCCTCTAGTCTGCCATGTCGGTAGTGCCATCGAAGCTGTCATCATCTCCTCCCTCAGCCTGACCCCTCTGACGAGTCTCGTCTGTGTAGTCCCTGCTGGACATCTGATCCAATGTGTTGCCTTGATCATCACCATCGGGATCATCGTCCACCACGTGAGAAGAGGTTTTCGGCCTCTCTCTGCTGGCGGCTCGAGATCGGGTACGGATACTGCCTGAGACACCTCTGCCTGCAGTAACCCCCCCTGCAAGGTCAGCAGTCTCTGCATGAGCATCCCCCAGTGCACTCAGTGCCCATGATTGTTGCTGCTTGCCTCGTCCTCTGCCCGAGCCATGTGGGCGGCCACATGCTTGACCGCTGCCTGCTCTGGGGCGTGCTGGGGGTGGATCCTCGCCACCGTCATCCTCCCTCTGTCTCTTTTTCCTGCCGGCATGACTCGTCTTGACATTATCGCGGATGGCTGATGGTCCTCGTGTCGGAAGCGGGGGCATCCCCAGTGGACTGCGCATGGCCGTGCAAATCGTCCTGGACGACGACGGCCGTAGTGACATGGGAAGACTGGAGCCCCTGCTGAGCGTGGATGAGTGGGATGAATGGATGGTTCCAAGTCCGGGCCGCGGCGGTATGCCTGCTGGACTGGTCGAGGGTACGCGACTCGTCAATAACAAGCTGCGTCCCCCTTCCTGCGTCGTCTGGCCGGAGCCGCAGTCGAGACCACCCATGACTCCTGTAGATGCTCGCTCCTGAGCTGCCACACGATGTGGTGGCAACATGCCATGTACACCAAGATCCACCCCTGAGAGGATTGTGCAGCACGTGGGGGTAGCAGGGGAATCTCGTAGAACGAAGCTCCGGTGAGTGCGATGTCTCGCGCACTACTCTCCTGCGGGGGTTCCCTATCCTTGACCTCTATCCTCTCCTCCACCATCACACCGCCCTCATCTCCGACGACACTCTCGTAAATCCTCTCGCCCACTCTCTCGCGTACGATGTTTGATCTCCCCTGGTCCATGTGGTGCCACACACTAACATCCACCCTAACTTCCACCCTCTGCTCCACACTCTGCTCCACCCTTTGCTCCACCCTAGGATCTGCACCTAAGGCAGCACATGGATGTACCTTTTGCTTCGCCCTCTGCTCTACAGTCGCAGCCAAACCCACCCCCACACACTGCTCTGCAGTTTGCACGACCATGTGGTGAATGCCCTCCCTATCCGGCGGGTGTGCTCTCTCGTCCAATCTCCGATCTGTGCTATGATCCACCCTCTGCTCAACCCTCTGGCCCGTCAAGTCTTGTACTACCTCGTCCACCCTCTGATCCACCGTCTGCACGACAGTTTGTCTAACCCCCGGACACTCTGCACGCTGCTCTGCCACCTGCTCCACCCTATCCCTGTGCTGTGACCTTTGCTCCATTGCCTAAGCTGACCTATCACCCATGCTGTCATGCAGCCTCTGCTCTGCCCCGTGCACAACAACATGGTCCAGGACAACCTTTGAAGACCCGTTAGTCTTCCGCACGTTGTCAGTACAAGCAGGGGAACCTGTCGTGGCAGAAGCATGTGCCTCTAGACTTGTGGAATCGACGGTGACTAGCCCCGCATGATGAGAAGACTCTGGACAAACGAGGCGATGTGATGTTGCGGCGCCTGATGACCCTATCTCTGTCGCCCGTGGATGTGTAGTTGACGCAAGGATGTCCTCGTGGCCTCGCTCGATGTCCGCTTCCTCTGCATCGTCTCTCGCCAATAGACCCTCCACATCAACATGACCTCCCACCCTGCTTCGGAGGGACCTCACTGTCTGGAAACTGCCATCCACGTACGAGTCGAAGTCTGTGTGAGGGTCCAATGTCGCCCACTCATCCATAATGTCGTACTGGTCCTCTGCGACCGCCTTCCCTCTACCCCTATCTGCCTGCTCATGCTCCATCGTTTCGTGGTGCATCCATACCGCATCTTGCCATGGGGACACATCATCTATCACACGATCATCCGCCGATACAAATGTGATCCAGTTACGACCATCCTTGCGACGGTTAACCTGATCCATGTGCTCCCACTCCTCCTCGCCCACGTCTGTGGGGATAACACCTGCATCGTCGATCTCGTCTGGGGGTCCTCCCCCATATCCGCCCACACGTCGATATAATGACTATCCGGTCGCCCGCTCGCGTTGAGAAGTTGCATGTTCCAGTGAATGAACACGAGTTTCTCAACACTCTGCGCAGAAAGGTTGTTGCGCCTCTTCGTGTGTATGAAGTCGTGGGTCGCCCAATTGCGCTCGCAAGGAGTCGTTGTGGACTGCATGCCAAGCACCTTCTTCGCGATGGCTTGCAAATTCGGGAAACGGCCGCCGTGAAGCTCCCACCACAACGTTGGGTGCATGGTCTTCGATTTTGCATCTCGAGTGACGTACTGATGCTCCCAGTGAGCTCCATGCTCCGGCTAGTAACACGGATCGTCACAGTGAAGCTCCCACCGATTCGGGAAACGGCCGTCGTGAAGCTCCCAGTGAGCTCCATGCTCCGGCTATTAACACGGATCGTGACAGCGAAAGGTCCACAAAGCCTCCCAAAGTGTGTGCATCTTATCCGCCCCCCAGTTCCCACCCAAGGTGCATGCAAAGTGGTCGAGTGCGCTTTGCACAATGGGGGCCGAGCGATCCTGCAACAAAGTCACGTCACACCGACGAGGATCCAGCAAATAAGCTGCAGCATGGGCAGGCTGACGCATCATCGCGCACCTATCCGCCACAATCTCCATAACATCCGCCCTCTCATGCTCCTCCAACAGCAGAGCATCAATCTTCCTCTCAAGGATTGACTGCAAATCCCACAAACCAAGTGGTGAGGACCCATCACGGTCCATGTCCCTGAGGATTATAACACGGCTCCATGACGTCCATCACTCTCTTCATCTGCTGCCACCATGAATCAGATCTGCACAGTTTGCGGACCTCCGGCTGCTCAGTCCGTGCATCGCCGGCCCGTCGTGGTACCTCTGTGCCCACAGCCTCTCCAACATGATCATGAAAGCAGTCCCGAACCGAGTATCCGCTGGTCGCCTGAGGTCTAGCGCATGCTCTGTGCCCCGATGCAGCGCGAGCGCCCTCTGTTTGTTTCTTATGAACTTCACTAACTTGTGTGCCCGCTTTATGACTTCTTTCGCCCAAGGCTGTGCAGCAATGTCCCTCAGCAACAAGCTCAAGCAATGTGCTGCGCACAGGATCCAAGGTATGTGTTCAATGGCACGGTCGGGGTGGGACTGCAGAACATTGGCCGCCGCCTTCATAACCTCCACATTGTCAGTGCAAATCGCATTAACATTGTCGCGTATGACACTCTCCCATATCTTCGCTGAACTAACGCCTGTCTTGTACTTGTCCGACATGTCGATGGTACGAATGAGTACTGGTCCAGACTGCCCTGCTGCTGTGAAGTTCATGATGGGCTTGTTGCTCTGGTCCGTCGCCCCGTCCGTCATCAATGTGCATCTGGTGTCTGCCCACTTTGCCTTCTTAGGGGCAATGAGTGCTGCGACTTGTGGTAGATAATGTCCAACATCCTTGTCTGGACTCCCCCGTTATGTCAGTAGTCGTGGCGCTGGCACAATGGATGGACGCAGGAGTGTCGTGGCGCTAGCAGAATGGATGGACGCAGGAGTGTGACAATGTAATCCCAATAATCATGCGTCTCCTTCAACCACAGCAAGTTGAAGGACACACCGCCTTGATACATGGCAAGTGCCAAGAGACGATCGAGATCCTTCTGCACCTTGTTCCCTACGAAAGGATCCAAGGTCGATTGTCTCACTCTCAACGTCACATTTGTGGATGCAACCCGCCTGCCTGGAGTCGTTGTCGCCCCTCCCCCATCAGCTTGAGCCGTCATTCCGACGAGTGACCGCAAGTGGTCGTGCCCATCATCTGCATCACGTGTATGCACTGGCAGCTCCTCGACACGATGCCTTGCTCTGTGGCAAGGACCTGTTCCTATGTTACAGGCTCATCCGGCAGGACACCACCCTCACCTCCGTACATGTCATCCATAGACAGTGCCCCCTCCAACGCATGTGGATGCTCTACGACCAATCTCTGTGAAAGCGGGTCCTTAAGCGTCGCCCCTGCCTGCTACAATCGCCACAAGATCTCGCCAGTTCATTGAGGGCAGTGTGCCTTTTGTTTTGTGAAGTGCTTGACTCCTTTGGATCAAGAGTCGGGAAACACCTCGTCGCACAGGCGACAACCCATCAAGAAGTTGTCGCCACCAACTTAACCGTGGTCCTGACCCCTCTCGATCCACTCCCACACTGCATGCGAACGCTTCAAGTCCACTTGTTTCCATTCGGGCAGAGGATCAAATGTGGGATAGGTGGTGCCCATACGACGCCTACTCGCCGCAGCCATTGTGCACGAAATACTGACGTGACAGGAAAGACAATGACAGATCTGGATGGGCGTGCCGAAAGGCGGAGTCACAAAAGTAGTGGAACACGATGTGTTGTTCCGCACCAGTTACCAACTCAGGAATGCAGCAGGTGTACAAGCTGCATTAACGAACGAAGAACAACAATTCGTTAGAAACTAAGAGCATGATGTATATTCACGTGACAACAAACGATGGTCAAGAAGGCGTCGACAAAGAAGTAGTAGCAGCCTTCTCTACCTACCTACCTATCTATCTATCTATCTATCTATCTATCTATCTATCTATCCATCTATCTAGCTAGCTAGCTAGCTACCAACCTACCTATCTATCCATCTATCCATCTATCTACCTACCTACCTGCCTACCTACCTACCTACCTACCTACCTACCTACCTACCTACCTACCTACCTACCTACCTACGTACCTACCTACCTACCTACCTACATACCTACCTACCTACCTGTCTATCTATCTACCTGTCTATCTATCTACCTTTCTATCTATCTATCTATCTATTTATCTATCTATCTACCTACCTATCTATCTATCTATCTATCTATCTATCTATCTATATATTTGTTTACCTACCTATCTACCTGCCTATCTATCTACCAACCTCTCTACCTACCTATCTATCTCTCTACCTACCTATCTGTCTATCTATCTATCTATCTATCTATCTATCTATCTATCTATCTATCTTATCTATTTATTTATTTATCTATCTATCTATCTATCTATCTATCTATCTATCTATCTATCTACCCGTCTATCTATCTGTCTATCTACCTACCTATCTACCTACCTACCTATCTATCTATCTATCTATCAATCTATCTATCTATCTATCTATCTATCCAACCTATCAATCTATCTACTTCATCAATCTGATGTAATCTATCTATCTATCTATCTATCTATCTATCTATCTATCTATCTATCTATCTATCTGTCTATCAATCTATCTACTTCATCAATCTGATGTAATCTATGTACTCTAGCTAATGTATCAATTTGTCTATCGATCTATCTATCTATGTATCTACCTACCTACCTACCTACCTACCTACCTACCTACCTACCTACCTACCGATCTGCCTACCTATCTATCGATCTACCTATATGCCCACCTTTCTGTCTACCTATCTATCTATGTATCAATCTATCTAGTCTATCTACGTATGTAATCTATCTATCTATCTATCTATCTATCTATCTATCTATGTAGAAGAACGAGGCAGGGGATGGCGACGACAAGGATGAGCAAGAGGAGGAGGACAAAGAGGTGAGGAGCACGCTGGTGAGGAAGAAGAGGAGGAGGACGACGACGATGGAGCACGGGCCGAACCTCCACCATCACCGCTCGGTCACATCGACACCCCC